ATATCCTCAAAAATACCTATTCATACTTAAATAAATATTTAATAATTAGAGGTTCATCCCTACATCTCAGATTCGACATAAATTCAACCATATAGATCTAGAGTTTAACTCAAAAATTTTTAAATATGAGTTTCAACCTCAAGAAAAATATTCTATAATATTTATTATATCCCTAGGAGCTTTAACCTATATTTTTAATCTATCATATCATCAGATTAACTATCCTATAGAAAAATATTAATCAAAATATTTACTTTATCCTATAAAATAATTATATCATTAGAAAGCTAATATTATTTAGAAAATAACTATAAAATTAATTTTGTAATTAAATAAATTTTTAAATGCTAATCTAAATAGGAAAGTTAGAACATACCTGAAAAAAATAATCCCCCTTGCAAGAAGACACCGAGCAACGTGAGAGGAAGAGAGAAAAATAATATAAAAATAGAATTTTAGGTCCCACAATTATATTAAAAAAAATTATATACCTGAATTTAATTATTCAAACCTTTGGGCCATTACTTACAATTTTTACAAATTGTATCTTGGGCTCTTAGTTATAATTTTCACAAATTGCATAAATATTTCTTTTGCTTCACTTACGCGGGCTTCGCTTCCTTTATATAGTTGAGGAAACTTGTCCTCTTCTCACATCTAACCGATATGGGACTAACTCCCATCTCTTTTTTTTTTTTGCTTTTACCATTTTTTTTATCACACACACACCAAAAAAAATTATTTATATATTCTAAATTTTAAAATTTTATCTTAACTAAACATTTCTTATGTAATTTTAAACCTAAATTTTTAATTTATAATTAAATTTTTAACTATATTATTATTTTCAAATAATCTCAAATAATATAAATTCCTATTATTAACTTAAATTTTATATTTTTTATCTAAAAATTAGGATATTACAAACCTAAATGTAGATGAAATTCTATTTGTACATAATGCAGGACCACAGGATATTAAGGGTTCAATCTGATTATCATTTGATATGAGCAAATTGATATCATTTCTGTAACACACCAAATTTTTTTTAAAATAATTTAACTCAACCATAGTTGGGTTACAGCCACCCAACACATTTTTATCAATAATTTTAATATAAAATATTTTATAATTGGCTTCAACTCACACACTATAACATTTCAGATAAATTTTTACCTCCCACATGCCATTAGGCTAAATCACATTTGTCCATCCTTATACTCCTAACAAGTAAAATAAGCAATTTAGTCAATTTTCAACACAAGCCAGTTATTTGGTCTTATAATCATGCCATTTTAACCAATCCAAAGTAAACCAAATATTAAAATTACAGTCATCTAAATTGTATCAAAAATAGAAATAGTTTGAAAAGCATGATTACATTTATATATTCATATAATTGACAATAAATAAAAAGCCCTAATATTGGCAATATAACACATTATAAATCATAAATTAAATACCCAAAAGAGACAGTGGATCTATACCACTAAGCCTCTGGGACTCCTCCACGTGTCACTCGTGGCTCTTCTCCTGAAAATTGTTAACCACATAATGAGACTCAAAAGTCCCAGTAACCAAAGCCAATTTATGATAATGTATACAAACAGTTAAGTGTGTGCTTACTAAGTGAGAATTAAAAATAATATAATTCCAACAAATATAAGAAATATTATAATAAACACAAACAACCATCCTTATATCCCTCCATTAACCTCGAGCCGTAGCCCTCACTCGGTGCTAAATTACCCGGCCAAAGGTAGATTAGCCCGAGCCCTTACAAGCCACCTATTGAGCTCCAATAGGGGCGTACCACGTGACACATAAATACAACAATAATAGCAAGTCTCCCAACACCTCCCACAATAATCAAACAAATTCATAATAATATTGCACAATTATACAATATTACAAAATTCATAATTTTCTCAATAATCACCCAATTAACATGAAGTAACACTAATCACAAATTAAAAGCATGGTTACCTTGTGGTTTTTTTAATAAATTATTTCTTAAAATTTCTCTCTCACCACAATCTTCACCAGTAATACAATCTACAAAATAACATATTATTTATAAATATTAGTTTCAATTTTTGAAAGTAATAAAATAATTTTAATAATAGAATTAAAAATATAACATAATTCCTAATCTCAATCTTAATACAAATCTATAGTTAATACTATTAAGTATAATTTTTAATCCTCTTTTAATTATCAATAAACATTAATAATCTAAAAAATCAACTTCTAAACTAATTTTTATTATCAAAATTTTCTTTTTATTTCATAAATTCGTACCTAAAATACCCAAAAATTAAAAATTAAGTCTCTAGCTTAGAATTATAATCTTATAGCCATAATAATTCATTTCTCATCCCAAATAATCATCTAAACCTCAATAAATCAACATATATTTTCAGATCTAGTTTAGAATTTGATCCATAAGCCATAAATTCAAAGATCATTAACAAATTTATACTCTATAACATTTATTATACTACTGACAACTTCAAAAACCATATTTATTCAACATAAATTCATCCCTCTTCCAGATCTTAAATTTTCTACCACTACAAACTCAGAAACTAAAGAAAAAGGATGACTAAGAAAAAATTTTAGAACATTTACTTAGTTTTGAAAAGCTTAAAATCACATCCTAAATATCCTATTAAAAACTCTTACCTTAAAAATTTAGATATTTCGCACCGGTGACTCGCGTTCTCTCTGCCTCAGTACGCACGAAGGAATGAATGAGGAAATGAAGGAAGGTGAGTTTTTATAAAAATTCAGTGGGTCTCACGCATTTTTTTTTATTCTTTTCTCTCTCTTCTTTCTTTCTTCTTCTTTTTTTTTATTATTATTATATTTTACTGTTGAGGCGGCGGCTGCGTTCACGTTTTCTTCCTTTCTTTCTTGTTTTTACACCTTTTTTTATTATAATAATAATTTAATAATATTATTTTTTTAATTATTTTTTTTATTTTTTTTTAAATTATTTTTTTTTAAATTTCTATTAACCCAAATTAACTATTAAAATTTATATTGGGATGTTACAATTTCTTTGTTGGAATATTTATTTATGGATTAATATTAATTAATAAGTCTGAACAGATTGGTCTTTATGATCTTGTATAGACCATGATAGGTGGACCACACAAGTAAACCTAATGGACAGAGGCCCAATTCACAATCCAGTAGCCGTCAGTTATTCCTTATCTCTTAACTGAATGTAATATAATTATTTTAATTATTTAATAAGGCGGTTATCAATCTAATTCTTATAAGTCAATCAATCGATAACCACCACACAAACGACTCATTTTCTTCTGCTCCATTATCTCTGCACTCTCTGAAAATTTTGGGGACCAGTGAATTGTGCATCTGTCTACAATTAAGATAATCAAGCTTTCTCAAATGCTCATAAATTCTTCATTATGGATATATTACTTTATTTATTCATATAAATTGAGATATACAAATTCAATATTCTTTGATCATTCTTTGTCGTATCAGAATCCAACGTAAATCCACGTAACATAACAGCAGCAGGGCCAGCAGTTCAGCATGAAGACCAAGAGCCAGCAATCATAGTTAATTTTCAGAAGGCAAGGACAATTCTGATTTAAGTCGAAGAGTTGTGTAGAACGTAGCATGAGAAAACATAATAAGTAGTACGGCAGCTCCTAGTGTTGGCAAACATGGAGAATCGAACTAGTGGTGAAATCAGAAATGACATTCACTTGCTAGCCACACGATAGCGGTACTCTTGTTCTGCCAACCAAATTGATTTGGTAGGCTCTATCAGGCATTAGCCCTGTTTCAATCACTAGACCGGAACAAAAGAAAAGACTAATTTTTTTTTTTTGTGGTCCAATGGCAGTCTGGTTTAAATTATTCCTCTGCAAGCCGTCCATGATAATATAAAAAAAAAAAAAAAAAGAGCAGATAAGCTCAAAAATTGGGATAACGTTGGTGGGGTGGAAAATGATGTTATAGCCTCAGAAAACTTGTGGCTCCTGAACCATGATTCCACGTCTTTCGGACAGATGCACCACTAAGGCATTATTATTTTGTTGGTTCATTAAGGGATTATTATTTATTTTGCAAAATATATACTTAAAACAGATGCTTAGGTATTCAAACGAAACCCACCTAGCCCACCTTCTCCATCCCGGCGTTACCTGCTTAATTTTCAATTATATTGAACGATTCAGAGCATGACCAAACATATTTGTCGAGTCTTGCAGTCTTATCATAACAAATATATATATATATATATATATATATATACTAGCTAAAACTATAATTCGAAGTTTTCGAACGCATCTAACATAGTCCTCACCGTTAATTCCTTGAATACGCTAATTGACGTCAAATGGTTTCTATTGACACAGAGAGCGGTAACTTTGTCCCTTTGCAGCCCAATAAACGTAGTAGTTTTTGCGCTTATAGATAGTTACACTACCTAAGAGGATCAGTCACTCCACAAAAGATACTCTGCTTGCCAGTTGAAATCAAGGCAGAGCTTGAATAATGGACTCTGGGCATAGAGTTGACTTCACATCCTTCAACTGCGGGATCAACACCTTTGCTAGCATTTCCCTATTTGTCAGTAAGAGTTAAAGAGCCGTTGGTTGGCAAGACAAACTTCATTTGGGCGTGACAATCGGTGAATAATGAATCAAGAATAACTAACCCACCATGGCCCATCCACGTCACTGCAAAAGTAAACAATATCACAATGCAGAATGTCGGTCGGGACAATGATTGAGGGACCCGCAGCCACAAACATATTGGTCGGCGATTGTTGCCCTTATAACATCACATCACGCCTTCCACGTGGCTTCACGGGAACGATCCGGAGGCTAGCCACTATGGTCCTCACAGGTGGCAAAAAAAAAAAAAAGGGGGTCACCTACTTAGAAAATTTTTCCATTTCGCCTGGTGTAATTTAACTCCAGTAGCTGCGACCTCTTGTATATATAAACCGGGAAGAAGGAAGCCAGAACATGAGAAAGCTTGGAGCATTCGAGGCCTGAAATCACAAAGCAAATTAAAAATGCCGATTTCCAGAATTGCGATCGGAGATGCGTCTGAGTTTAGTCAGGCCGATGCTCTTAAGGCGGCCCTGGCTGAGTTCATCTCAATGCTCATCTTTGTGTTTGCGGGGGAAGGCTCGGGCATGGCTTTCAGTAAGGGCCTAATTCAACTAGTTGGAGTCAATCTGGCTTTCTGCTAATAAGTTCCAAAGTAACGGAGAATTAACCTCACAATTAATTTGATGTTTTTTTTTTTTCGCAGATAAGCTGACAAATAATGGTTCAGCAACGCCAGCAGGGCTAGTTTCGGCATCAATAGCTCATGCCTTTGCACTGTTTGTGGCGGTCTCTGTTGGTGCCAACATCTCTGGTGGTCACGTGAATCCTGCTGTTACCTTCGGTGCTTTCGTTGGGGGCCACATTACCCTCCTTAGAAGCGTTTTGTACTGGATTGCCCAGTTGCTAGGGTCCGTGGTTGCTTGCTTGCTGCTTAAATTTGCCACCGGTGGACTGGTAAGATTCTTCGTCTTTTCAAACTCGAATCAAGTAAATTGAAGACATATATTATGATTATAAATAATACCTCAAATTTTATATCATATTCTAACTATAACAAGAAACTTTTCTTGCACGCCATACGAGTTTGAAATGAATCGTAGTTCATATTTCATGGATAGTAGGCTTTACGATGGATTTTATTTTTTGTACTCATTTGCAATACAAAACCATAGGATAATATATTGTGTACTGTGTAGGATAATTGCCATTCTTATTCCCGGTATGAGTTCAGAATGTTAGATTCCTATATGTGAATTTATGGATTGACCAAGAATCCGTTTCAATGAACTCTTGATGGTTCGAGTTCAATTTAAAAGATGGATGAAAAGGGAAGTGATGAGTAAAACTCATGCGATTGAACCTGTGCACCCCAGTTTTTCTGTATTTTTCCTCATTACAAGATTTTTCCTATTCTAGTGGGGAATTTATAAGATTTCTCCATGCCAGAAGCAACGAACAATCCCGCCTGGCAAGGAAAAGTTACAAGCAAGGGTACATGTAGCCAATAGTCCGTTAACAACAGGAGCACAAATATTGAGTGGAGCACATTAAACCTTAGAAATTAAATATGGAGTTGAAGTGAGATGGTTGTGTGTTATTGCAGGAAACATCCGCGTTCGCACTGTCGTCAGGGGTGGGAGCATGGAACGCAGTGGTATTTGAGATAGTGATGACCTTCGGATTGGTGTACACAGTGTATGCAACGGCGGTGGACCCGAAGAAGGGAGACATTGGGATCATAGCGCCCATTGCAATCGGTTTCATAGTGGGAGCTAACATCCTGGCCGGCGGCGCCTTTGATGGCGCGTCCATGAACCCGGCAGTGTCGTTTGGACCTGCCGTGGTTAGCTGGACGTGGGCCAACCATTGGGTCTATTGGCTCGGTCCATTTGTTGGGGCTGCTATTGCCGCCCTCGTCTATGAGCTTTTCTTCATCAACCAGAACACTCACGAACCCCTCCCAACAACCACTGACTATTAGGAGCCCGCGGCTTGTTCAGTGTTTATGTTGAAAGTGGGTGTCTTTGCTTGCTTGCTTTCTGTTTCACGTGTTGTTTTCCGTCTTGCTGCCTCTTCTTGTTGATTCCTGTTGCCTCTGTCCTGTTTTGTAAATCATCTTATCCCCATACGCCTTCCGTTGGCCATGTTTCAATTTTTTTTTTTTTAATGGAAGATCAATATCTACCGAAAATAGAAGGATCACAATATAAGATTATAACACATCCAAGATGCGAAAAAGCAAAACTAGAGAAGATGAGATCATCTTGCCGGAAGGTTACTTTGATCCTTTAACTCGATGCACCGACTTTTTAGTCCTGCCTCTAATGCCGTTGATCCAATTGACAGAAAATGCTGACAGGATAATATTTAATAGCTGACAAAATTTTAATAGCTAACCCGCTATCATCATTATTTATTGAGAAAATATTATACATGGGGCGTTTTAACAGTAAACAAATACCATAACAAAATAAAATATCGCTGCATCCTGAATATAACTGAACAAGATTTTGAGGGAGGAAAAAAAATCTAATTATTCATGTAGCGTTTTACAAGTCTTGTTCCCATATAAATAATATAGCATTTGATTATTAACAAATTATCATATTTAGTTATTAAAAAATGGATATTTATTCATGAATAAGTTATAAAAATTGATAACCTTTCATACAATCAATTTTTTTGTGCTTTGATGCGACGGCACAATCAAATTGATCTCCTATCATCTCACACACTCCTGGAGTAATCTCCCAATTCCCACAACAGCATCCAGGAGTGGATCGATAAGCCCAATTGCCTCTCATACAACCACGAAAAATCCATTAGCTGAGATCTCACTGGTGACGCTTTCTGCCACAGTGCACTCGCTTTGGGTGCACATTTGAATTTGATAATTGTAAGCATTAAGTATATGTATTATTTAAGTCATTAAAATTTATATCAATAATAAGCTCACTTATTTATTGGTTTTAAATAGAGTATAAATTTAGAATAATTAATTTTAATTTCAATAATTTAGATAATACAGATATTTAAATACAGTCACCGAAGCTAAATTCTTCAGGCGCGTGGAGATCGATTTGATGGAAGAAGAAAGGGAGAATGATAATAAATTCTCAAAAAGATAAATTAATAACAGTTAAACTCCTGACAAAATTTTTTATAAAATAAATTATAAATATAAATTCAAATAGCTATAAACAGAAATTTAATTTGTAAAATAATTATTATATTTAGAATTTAAATATCACATTTGTAATTAAAATTTTTAAATTTATAATTGTATGAATTGATATTTATAATTAATTTTTTTAAAAAATTTGCTAGGACCTAATTGTCATTAATTTTTTTAAGACTTAATTGTCATTCTTTTAAGAAAAAATAAGGGCAACTTTTTTCCCCTTTAGAATAATAAAAGAAAAGTGACTTTTTTTTTTCAGAGATAAAATTACTAGATTAAAGTGTAAAATAACAAAATTGACCTTCTAAATTATAGATTTAGGAGCATATGATATCCTAAACTCATTTTTTGGATAATATTTTCTTTAAAATTTTGAAAATAATGCAATTTAATTTTTGAAATTAATAAAGTTAATTTTAACCATTAGTTAACTAAAAAATAATATAAAAAATTATAGAAAATGACAAAAAAATCTTAGTTATTTTTGGTAATTTTTTGAATTCTTGTTCGTAATTTTTGAATCACTTACTATAACTTTGAGTCATTTTTCTGTAATTTTTATACCATTTTCTGTTTAACTAACAATCAAAAATAAATTTTATTAATGGCAAGGCTAGATTGTATTATTTCAAAAATCAAAGGAAAATATTACATAAAAAAATGAATTTAAGGTTTTAGATATTCTTGAACTTATAATTTAGGAACTAATTTATTGTTTTACCTTAAATTAAATTATCATCATTTTAAATGATTTCTCAATTAGTGAAGATTCCTTTGTCAACATTTCCTAGTCCATTGATACAAATATAGGATAATGTTAAGAGTCGATGATTAAAAATCACTAAATGCAAGTCCACGGACCAAATTGACATGTAATGCAAAATTAAAGGAGACAAAACATGCTTTTCGTGTCTATTTAATAACTTGTACCGGATTGATTTTCTTTTTGGCAAACAATATATTTTATATTAAAATATAGAAAGACAATTTGGGCTATCAATTACTTTCAAAGAGCATTAATTAACAATAACTATGAGCCATTTATTATTGGAGTAATGAATTGCTTCAAATGTTGAAATTATTGCAATGCCACCCATAATCACTAATGACCATATGCTGACCATTAATTTCATATTGGTTTTGGATTAAAGAATACTTTTGCTTTTAAAATATTTATAGAGAAGTAATTAGCACCTTAAGACAAACTGACAAACCTTTTGTTTTAATCAAAACGTGTGATGCCATATATCTAGGGTATCATGCAACTCTCTAGCTAGGTATTCGTAAAAGAATGAAAATTTTATCAGTAGATATTAATTATCAACTCAAGATATCACCACACTTTATATAATTTTTTTGTCAATAAAAAATTCAGTCAATTTTATAAATAGTCAGGATGGACGCATATAATCAATGACGTGCCCAAAAAAATTAGTCAGTGGAGGCAAAGTTTACATTTAAAATAGATATTAATATTTTTAATGTTTATTAAATTAAATTAAAGATAAAATTTATAATAATAGAAAAATAATAATGTCTTTATAAAACCAAATTTTTTATAAATATTAAAAAATAATACTGTTTTTAACTTCATTATCTATTAAATAAAATTTATCCACTTTCTTTAGTATAGTATAAAAAGTTTTTAAGATAACTTTTTTATTTATAAAATTAGAGAAAATTATTTTTTAATTACTGTTTCCTCCATTTTAAAACTATTTTTATTTAGAGAGAATGGCATTGATAGCCTCAGAAGAGAAAAAAAGCAGGAATGGTCCTAAATAACAAATGTGCACCTATGCACAAGTTCATCAATAAACTTTTAATCATTTATAAATGAACTTTCAGTTATTCTTGGCTATCAATGTTTTTTTTTTTTTTTCCCTCTCTTCTAAGGACTCTCACTGACATTCGTTCTTTTGTTTAAGTTTATTATCTATAAAGATATCAATTACTCCATATTATTAAATTTTAGAATGTTAGTTATTCTCCATGAATACTTTAAGAAAAACTATTATTTAATTTGAAGTTAATTCAAAAGTTAACAGTAAATTTACAGTTAATCACAGGATGCAATTATTTTTACACTTAGCGATATTATTTTAAGATAACTAGTTCCCCTATTAAAACATTGTGCGTAAAAATTCACTTCAACCCTGGAACATGTACTTTTTGATAATAAAAAAATATCGTAAACATTATAATTAGGAAAAATTATGTTTAGATCTCATGGACCATATTTATTTATAAATAAATTTCATAAAATTTAAAAATTACAATAAAGTCTTTTTGAATTTGAGTGTAATTTAAAATTAGAATACAAAAATAATAATATTTCTATTAAAAATACATTATATCAATCAAATGATTTATAACTACTTTATTTGTAATTTATAACTATCATTTCAACCATTTATAATTATAATATCATGTATCTAATAGATAAATTAACCATGCATTATAAGTCTATTACTAATTATATACAATTATCTCATTCATAATTTACAACTATCACTTCAATATTTTACAATTATAATGTTACATATTTAATAGTTAAATTGATCATACATCACTAACAAAATTTAATATTGATTATTTAAAACTATTTTAGTAATTTATAATTATTACTTTAATTTTTTATAATTATAATTTCACATATCCAATAATTAAAAAATTTGGACATTTGATGTAAAAAGTTACAGTTATAAAAAATTAAAATTAAAATTATAAATTATTTATAGAATAATTATAAATTATTTAATTAATATAATTTATTTTTAATAGAAAAATTATTATTTTTATATTTTAATTTTAAATTACACTTAAACCTTAAAAAATAAATATATTTCATGAGATTTAAATATAATTTTTTCATATGATTATCCCCCGAATTAAAACAAGGTATGGAATGAAACAACCTTTCGGCGGGAGAAGGAAACGAACCCAAACAAAAAACAAACAAAACAAAACAAAAGCTAAAAGAAGAAAAGAAGACGGCGTGGGAACTGGGAAGGAAGTGGAAAGAGCAGGGAAACGCGGGCACGAGCAAGTCCCAATTAGTAAATACACGCCAAGAAATCCAATCAATTAGTGTTGCTCAGGGTAAGGACTTGAACGATAGAAACCACTCAGTCATTTCTACAATTCCGCACCGCCGATCAAAGATGAATGTATTTGCAACCCGATCGAAAATTGTAAGTTCCTTCGTTTCCCAAGGTGCAATGCGATATGCAAGGTAAATGTTCAATCCGGTAATTAGTTGCCTGCTATCCTTTGATTATGAATGTAGAATTCGTAGTATAGTTGCTTATTTGAATTAGCCCTAGATACTTATTTGTTACGTAGTAACTCCCGGTAATTTATCATCGTCTCTGTGTGTGTGTGAATTTGAAGGGGGCTAAACCAGCCCTGTCACCTCTACCATGCAAGGGGATTGCTTTGTCACTAGGGCAACCACCAAGTGCCTTTTTCAGGTTTTTTCCGCACGAAGTGCGACATGTTTGCAGAATATTAACTCTGAAACTGCAATCAAATGTATGTTACTCTCCACTTCCAAAGGGGCAGAATAGATAATCAAAATTTTAAACCAAATTGATAACAGATTCTGTTCTCGTTTCTTGCACCGTCAATTTGCTGTATCATGTTTTTTCTATAAATGTGTGTCTGATTGTATATGTTGGAGTGTAAACTAGGTTTTTGGCAGTGGTACAGACTAGGTCTGCTTTGTATCTGTAAACCCAAAAGGAAGAGTTTTCATGGCTCACAGCACTCCAAGAAAGACGGATTCCTGACCTTTGGGTGCTGAGTAGTCTACGCAACTTGGCACTTGATCATTACTTGATCTATCACGAAGCAATCCATCGGTAACAAAACCATTATGGGCTGTTGCGTGCACGATTTTCTCATAGACTTAACTGAGTTGATTCAGGCTAGTCTCGTGTCAATACATAATAAGGTTCTCTCAGGCAATCACGGTTCATTTAAGATTAAGTTACATTAAAATCGTGACTATATTGTGCTAAAGAAAATGTTTTGACTTACAGAAGGAGCACATGAAAGATAAGATTAGGACTGAGATTAAGTTAGGCGGCACTCGATCAATTAATTATCTGACAAGGAAGAATTATGCGCGTACATAAATGATCCTGTGTATGTTGTCTTCTGCATGATCTGTGTGTTGTGCATACTATTCGATTTTGATTGAAGAGTCATTTAGATTATTCATGCATTAACTATATTGATAGGTATGTAGATCAAGTGAATACTTAATTGAAACAGGTGCATGATATTTTACATTGAGAACTCATGACCTCCCTATTGGAGGTTTCTTCGCAGTTTCCCTTTCTGTTGGAAGTATAAAGCAATGGACATGGACTACAACTATGCATAAGTAGATTACAGCTGTGTCACACTATGGAGGACCATGACTAAAAGGCAAAAGCTTAGAGAAACTAACTATGCTACATAGGTTAGACTTCCATATCACAGGTGTTACACATATGAACAAATTTAAAATAATTTCCGGTTAGCCAGTTAGAAATGCTGTCCCTTGTTCAAAGCTGGAAAAGAAAGGATCGTTTGAAGGGAGAAAGGTCGTCTTACTTTCTTCTTCATCCATAACCCACAGCAGGTCTGAAGAATAGTCCCAAGAAGGAGATAGCGGACGAGGACAAAAGAAGTTGCATTCCTCGTCGATATGCCTAGCACTAGAATGGACTGGATTCTGAACATCATCTTCTGACAGGGCAATATCTTTCCATATGTCATCCATAGAGTAACCCTGTTCACCTTCTTGTACTTCCCCTATCTTGATGTCTGTTGAGTCAATCATATTAGGCCCTCCTGTATCATAAAAGCTTTCTTCTCCACTATCTTTGGAAGGATGTGAACCCACAGCGTGATTATTTGATGATAGTGAAGAATGACAACTAGATGTTGGTGGGGTGGCCGCCCGCTTGGTCTCCTGTGCCTTCTTCCTCATGTAAGTCCTCCAGTAATTCTTAATCTCATTATCTGTGCGCCCTGGCAATTTCCGGGCAATTCTTGACCATCTGCATGTGACAATCACGGAAAGCAGGGATTTGAGAAAGGAAAGCAATTCAAAGAAATTGGATGATTAAATATAATAAAGTTGAAGAGCAAAAGACGTGTAGAAAGAATCTAGGCAGCAACTTTTTCTGCATATTCTCAAACCTATTTCCCCATTTAGCGTGAAGCTCCAGCACAAGGCGCTCTTCTTGGGGAGTCATCTTGCCCCGTTTGAGACCAGGATGCAGGTAATTAACCCACCGTAACCTGCAACTCTTACCAGTTCTATTCAAACCTACAACAAAATTAGGCGGTTAATGGCTGCTTTTTCTATAATCCAGTATGCCCAAATAAGCATACCTATTACTGTCTCCCGCCACCTTCAAACCTGAAACTTTGGCTATAAAATCCCATCTCCGGTCTCCAAATAAGCCAACAAAAGAGACTAATTTGATGTCCTCCTGTTCTGTCCAAGGACCTTTCCGGAATTCCTGTTGAACCATTTTCGTCTGTTTTCCTGAGCTACTCGAATAATTCCTTAGAAGGGAACTTACTCCACTCGATCACTTATGGGGACCTATGTCTGCAAAACCTTTATTTATATATGCTTTGTATCAGCCCATGTTATTATTTTTAATTGGCAAATTTGCATATCCCCTACTCATGTGGTGCACGCGTGCTTATTCTTACGGTCAATTTACGAAGCTGTCGTCAGCCATTATAGGCAAATAAACAGACTAATTGATCAATCTGTCCATGTAAGTTTCAATGTTATTTTTCTTTCCATTACTGCCATTGTTTACTCACTCGGCATTCATCAGACAGTTGTTCTTGGATCAATTATCACTTCAACGTACAGATTTTGTAGTTAAGAAATGGTGGCTTCAATTTGAGATAAACTTTCTTAAAGACAACTCATTTGTAAGAGGTTATAGCTCTCCCATGAAGACTGCCCAAGATAATCGTATCTTTCATAAACATAAGATGCAAAAATTTGGAACGATTGCTCGAACTTGAATGGAAGGGACTGGTCGCCCAAAAAAAAAATGGAAGGGACTAAGTTGACGAAGTTGCTGCATCCTCTCTTTTTCTTTTCGGTCACTTCGGCTTCTTTCTTTTTACACAACTAGAGTGATTTTTTTTTTTTTTTTTGAGATATCCTACAACTTCTAGATACATGGATTTGTAGAAATGTTTGTTGCGTCCCTTGACTTTATTCAAGCCCGTGAAAGAAAACAAACTCGTAATAGTGTTTATTAGGGAGAATTTCATTAAAAAATTTTGGATGTGACGTACTTTCAATCGGGTATTAAAAAATTTTAAAATTTTAATGCAGATCTGGAGCATTGAAATGAAATGCTTGAATGAATAAAATGTCTTCCAATTATAATTAGCATTACCGACAAGGATGGATGTAGAAACAATGATGTAGGGGGCAAAATGTGAAATTACATAATAGTGGGGCAAAAATTAATTTTTGCATTTTTTACAAGTAAAAACCAAGTAAATGTTGCAAAAATTTTCTCACATGGGTGCTTCCCCTTAAAAATGTCCAGATTACAAGTTAACTTGTAGTCTTTACAAATAATGTTGGCAGAATAGCAAATCAAATTATAGGTTTTACAAGTAACATTAATAAAATAAATGTAATTTCTTATTATTTTTGTAATATTACTTGTAAAAGACGTAACTTAAGTTATTATTTTAATAATATTACTTAAAAAAATAATAACTTAACTTATTATTATAGTAATGTTATTTGTAAAAATTGTAATTTGCCTTGTTATTTTATTAAAATTGCTTTCAAAATCATAATTTGACTTGTTCTTTAGATATATTATTTGTAAAAATCAAAACCTGATTTGTGAGTATAATAATGTAACTTGTAAAAATTATAATTTGACTTATTATTTTAGTAATATTATTTATAAAAATCATTACTTATTATTTCAGTTATGTTAATTATAATGGAAAGGCATTTTATTTCATTTGAGTGTTCCGGGCTTGGAGCAAAATTTCAGAATTTTTTTTAAATCCGGTTGAAATTATGTCATATTCAAGAGACTTGAATGAAATCCTCCCTATGTACTAGTTGGAAGAAATTATTGAAACGCTTTGCTGTTACCTCCTTTCCTACTAGAATGAAATTATAGCAAGATGTTACTTTAAGAAACTTTTTCATCATTCATTTTTTATAAGGAAGTATTGTAAAATGCAAAGATTATCGACATTCGTACCAGATCGAGACAAGTTTCTCTGGTGTCTTTAGCAATAGTGCCTGTTTGGTTTTTTTTATTGGCTAAAAGTCAATTTATTCAAAAGTTTATTTGATAAAAGTATTTTGATATAATGAAAATTGTTTTTAGATATATTTTTAAAAAATACGTTTGATAAATTGAAAGTACTTTATATTATATATAATAAAATGTACTTTTTAAATGTACAATTAAAAAAAGTATTGATTTTTATAATTTATAATTTTTGTTATACAAATTATTTATATTAGAAATGTTTGAAAAATATGTGATGGAAATGTTAAATAACATAAATTTTATATGTCTAATGATAAAGATAAAAAATAGGAAAAATTAATTTTTTAGTCCTTCAACTTTTAACTCACTTGTAACTCAATCCCTCAACTATGACTCGCTGCAACTCAGTCCTTCAACTATAACTCGCTGCAATTCAGTCCTTCAACTTTTGATTTACCTATAACTCAGTCCTTATTTTTTAATTTTTTTTATCAAATAAGAGGGATAAAAAAATGCTCATATATTATTTTAAAATACCCTCTTCTTATTCATTAATGTGAGATAGAAGTTAACATGAAAAAAAAATTAACAAAAGTTAAGGGACTAATTTGTAAGTCATAGGCGAGTTATAATTGAGGGACTGAGTTACAGTGAGTCATAATTGAGAAACTGGGTTACAAGTGACTTAAAAGTTGGAGGACTAAAAGATTAATTTTTTCTAAAAAATATTAAGTTTGATATGTTGAAAAAAATTATGTAAAACATTAATATCAAATGATGTTTTAAAAGATTACTTGCAATTTGATATGTTGACAAAAATTATGTAAAACATTAATATCAAATGATATTTTAAAATATTACTTGCAATTTCTTTTTATATAAAAATCCATCCTCGTGATACGTCAAAAATTTACCAACAATTTTTTTTATAAAAATCAAAGGTAATATGATCATATAAAAAAAGTAAAGAAATCTTGTTTCAATAGTTAAGGGAGATTAGTTGAACAAATTTATATTTAACAACTTTCTTAAAGTGCATTCTAAAAAACACTTTTGAGATTTGAGTTTTGAATATACAACTATGTTAAATATTTGTCAGGAAAGTGTTATTGCCAATGTGATCCTCAGCTATGAATAATGGGTATTTGTATAAAAAAAAAACAATTTCATCTTAATTTGTTATAACCAAACAATTTTTAATTTTCAAAAAGTGCCAAAAACGCTATCTGAAAGTTAAAATTAGGGTTGCTAAATGGAGGCTTAAATCATGCCACTTCACTTTTTTATCTTTTGTTAAAAAGAAAAATACTATTCACGCTGCCGCAGAAAAAAGGAGAGTCACTGGGTGCTAGTGGTAAAGAATCAAAGATTGGGAGTGGTTCGCAAAAGGTTACAACTTCTACCCGGTCATGTGCATAAAGAAAAAGGCGACAGCCAGATGAAAATAGCCACTCATTTTTTGTGGAGATTGAAAACAACAATAATAAAGTACTTCCTATAAAAAAAGTGTGAAAGAAGGCTTTAACAATGTATTTATCAATTCAAAAGAAGGAAACTGAATTTAACTTTTTAAATAAAGATGCATAATTTGTGAAGTTCAACATTTGTGCCTCAAGTTTAAATTAAAAAAAAAATCTATGACAAGATCTTTTTAAAAATTGTTTGCACGTAATGCTCTACCTCTAATCATTTGACAAAATTTGGAAGGGTGTAATGTTTCAATATATAAGACAATTTTCAGAAATTTTAGGAGTAATTAAAGTTTTTCCCTACAATGCCCACAGTCAATTAATAACAAGACTTGACCCACGTTGGAAAAAATATGAACATCAATTAAGAGTTGAAATGGAAACATGGGAAAAAATTTAAGACATATTAGTAAGATTATTTTATTTGTATGTGTAAATTAGATAATTGGGTTGAGGGTTAGTTTTGCCCCACAATCTTACTCAAAAAGTCAATAGGGCTCTTAAACTTGACTATAGATCAATTCTATCAATCAACTTTAAAGATTTTTATTTTATCACATTATTATTTTTTTTATCATTAATTGATTGTTAGTAGACCTTATATTATGTTTTTTAATATTTTTTTATTATAAAATATTTAAATTGAGGTATCCGCTGCCCATAGATAAATAGATACACGAATATTCATTCAAATAATCGCATTCATCATCATGTTCATTGATCAACTTATGTCACTTTAAACTTGGTGCATATACTTTCTCAGTTTTTGAGAAAAAAAATTAAATTCAAACATCTGATTCATCATTTGGACATTAAGCAACCAAAAAATACACAGAACACCAAATATAAATCAACTGACTCGGTCAAGCATGATCTGAACTCCATTTTACAGTGGCTGAAATGCTTGCCAATTAAATTGCATATGACAGGCAGGTTGACTTCCTCTCTAACATAAATACTTTTCGCAAAATGCTTCCATATGATTTACGAATGCCGCATCGTTCCGCTCTTCTTCGTTTCGGGTCTTTGATTCTAATATCTATTGTATATTATATGTTAGATCTCATGCGATAATGTAATTAGCTTGTCGCTGGTTCTGATTAGGATGGAATTAGAGTAGAGTATTGGATAATATAATCTAGATGGGGTTTAGAATTTGTAGATTACAGCTTTAACTTGTGGAATTGTATGTCCTTCCTCTTGCGGAAAATACAGGAATGGTATGCATCCAATGGGGTTAAAGATAGCGGAGGCATATCTAATATTGGATACACGTGGAGTTCAGGCTTTCTTCTGAGACTTGACAGGTCCAGATAGATGCCAAGATGAGGATATTACGTGAAAGAACCAGAAACATGATCAGCAGAAATGCAGAGTGGAATGTTGCATCATTCGCCTGTGTCCATACAAACGCCACGAATTTGGGGCGGTGAACAGTCATGTCAGCACTGTATCGAGCAAGAGGAATGATTGAATTAATGACGGAATTCTTTTTCCCGGGGGAGGGAAGGGATTCAAAAAATGGCAGATAAAGATCGGTCGGTGACGTGGATGTCACCAATTTGTGGGCAAGCCACTTAATCTTATCTCTAGGGTTTCTCTGTCAGTTGGGTTTATTTACGGCTAATGGTGGTGGTCCCCTGAGCTTTCTTGTCATTAAATTAAGGATGAGTATCAGACGTACACAAATAACATATTTGACCACTTCAATTCCTGGCCATCGTCAACCCCATCTCTCCTTTCGTCTCTCTTCTCCTTCGTGAAGCTCATTATCAACGGTCCCGGATTATGATGCTTTCTCTGTGCATGGCCCAGTCCTGGATATTCTATAAATCTACAATTTGACAACGGGAATGCCATTTCGACCCAGCTTCATGGCTGGCTTGTATCCTCTTAAGACTATTTTATACGTCGCACGATAATATATAAAATAATGGGATGTGTGATAATGTTACTTATGGTTTAGTAACCTTTTTCCAAATATCGATGACGAAAATGATACGAGCACTGGTCTTTGTCGTGCTCCAATTTGTGCTAGTGATGGTGGAGGGACATTGCATACGCATCGAGGAATTATCATCAAATGCCCCGACCCCCGCTTGTCTTTTTCTATGATTAACCGGTCTACCAAAAAAAAAAAAATGTGGCTTACCGC